TTTGTTTACTCAGCATCATTTATAAAGGGAGAAATTTGAAGCTAGGCCAAGTACGTACCAATATGGGGACGGTTAAATTAATTAGAACAAATGCATTCAGTACTACAATTATATTATAATGAATATAAATGGTAACTATTCTTATCATCCTTGATATGCATTTTAATGTTTTTAATAATGCATATTTATTATATTTTGAAGAGTTAACTATAAATAAAAGTTATTTATATAAAATTAATTGACAATTTTGTGGGAACATTAAAGAAGCAATAAACAAAGACTTTGGTCTAAAGCAGTTAATCTTGAAGTAGAGCTCTATAAACATTGTTTAGAGATCTGGAGAAATCTTCAAGAAGAAAGGGCTAAAAGATGACAGAGGTTGTCCCTAGGGAGTGGGGCTGGGGGTGAGAAGTTGTGGAGGAGTCTTGCTTTTCATTATAAGCTGTGTGTACTGTTTGATTTCACACTGATAAAAGTGTAAAATAGGGGGCTGGCCCCGTGGCCGAGTGGTTAAGTTCGTGCGCTCCGCTGCAGGCGGCCCAGTGTTTCGTTGGTTCGAATCCTGGGCGCGGACATGGCACTGCTCATCACACCACGCTGAGGTGGCGTCCCACATGCCACAACTAGAAGGACCCACAGCTAAGAATATACAACTATGCACCAGGGGAGCTTTGGGGAGAAAAAGGAAAAAAAATTAAAAAATCTTAAAAAAAAAAAAGTGTAAAATAGGGAATTATGCATAAGTACGTGTGTGTGTGTGTGTGTGTGTGTGTGTGTGTGTGTGTGTGTATGGTTTATTCTTTTAAGAACCATATGGTGGAGGCTGTCTTTTCACCAGGAAATCCTTGTACTTCACACAATAGAAATGAGGTAGGAATTGAGAGTAGAACTACTTCATAAGGGTGTTCCCTTCGACCAAACAGGCCAGACTTAAATGAATGAAACATAAATTGGATGAAACCTAACGGAACCTGAAAACAATATTCCAGGTCACATTTTTTCCTCCTGATTCTCATGTTCTAGTGTCTTCCCTCTACATTCATTTCCCGAGGAGCAGACCTTTGAATCTGCTGGTTATGGAAAGTCCTCCCTTCTCACCAAGAGAAGGGAAATCTTTAAGCCAGATCTTTTTTTCCTAGAGCAAGTCTGGCATGGACAGTGAAATATTTTCCCTGGATACATGAATAGGCAATGTGAGGAAGGTCATTAGAGAGACAACTTTTCTTAAAAAGGAAATATCCAAGATAGGCTAAAAACACAAAAAATCTGCTATTCAGCGGCCTGAATAACAGAATGAACAGGGGTTTGAGGTAGGCAGGGCTGATTTCAATTTCTAGTAATCACTAACCCTCTGAAGCTCAGTTCTAGCATCCGTAATAGTGAGTAAGTGATATCTAGGTCGCTGGATTCATAAGTAATTAATTAAGTAATGAATATAAAGTAACTAGGATAATATTTAGCATACAGTGAGCATTCAACATAGTTAAGTTTTTCTGCCTATTATTGTAAACTTCTCCCCCCGACTGTAACCTTTTTAGTTTCTACAAACATATAAATAATACCTAAACATATCTATATACACTTAGGCGCAGATTTTAAATACTATATGCAAATTAATTTTATTTAAATTCTTTATGTTTTACTTTCAAGTAATTATGTACTTCCTTTCATTTTCGGTATTTTGAAGGCAAGAAGTACATCTAATAATGCTTGTATAACTCTATATAATATGCATTCTACTTCTCTTAAGGTATTTGAATATTTACACTCAGTATTCCACTTACTCCACCCAATAACTTACGAGGTGTGAGCTTTTCCTATCCCCCTGTTACAGATGGGAAGGATAAAGCTTACGGTGGTTAAATGACGGCCAAGGTAGTAAGACTGGAAGGTGACAGAGGAGGGATTTGGTGAATTTGAACCTGGATGTGTCTATGTCCCAAGTCCAGATATCTCCTATGCTGTGTTGCCATCACCCCACAGAGTGGAAATGTTACTGACAATGCTTTTACATCTGTCTTTGTAAGTGCATTCAGGAGGTACACCATTTGCTTTTACTGTACACATCTATATTTAATTTATCACCAGATTATATCTATTTTCACTTGTAGGTAACTCACAAATCCTTTCACTTCCCCCCATCCCTGTTCTTATTACCCTGGGCCAGCCTGCTCTTGTCATGGCTCAAACAACTGTTTCAGCCTCCTGAAAGGATCACCCAGTCGTCATTCTTGTACTCTGCAGTTCACTCTCTACACTGTAGCAGAGCCATATTCTAAAACCCAATCTGTTCTTGTGGCACTTCGGTAGCCCTACATTGCTCTGAGGAAAAAGCTCCAACTCTCAGTCTCCGTACAATGTAAGCTCCAGGAAAGTAACAACCTTGTCCAGCTTGCCCGGGGAGGTTTTGTATATTTTGGTTATCGTGTAAGTCTTCAGTCAGTGTGTTGAATGAATCTGGTTTCCAAGCTTCTTTATATTCTTGCACTTGCTCATTCCTTCAGCCTCATCTTTTGTTACTCCTAAACCTTGAATTTACACTCCAGCTCTAACGAACTTTATTTAGAGCCTGAAAATCACCAGAAAGAGAATCAGTTATCAGAAACACACAGTGCTGAAAAGAAGAAAGGTCAGCTCCAAGGCACAGAGAATCTGATAATACCAGGAGAGCTGAGGCTGGTGACAGAGCAGCTAGGTGAGCCAAACAAAGAGATGCTTGGGGACAGAAGGTAAAACGGACAATGGGCACAAGGCAAACAGGAGTATAGAGCCATGTCATCAGCCACAGGGACGAAACCTCTGGATGGAAAGTTGGTTGCTTTACTCTTAGTGACCTGCAGACTTCTATCTCCTACCTTAGTTTCTTCTGTGCTTCTCTTACGTTGGGAGAGCCATTCTAGAATGAGTTAAGTAACTATTATGCTACTATACGGTTATGTGCCAGGCATCCTGCTAGAAACTGAGGGTGCAAGACCACAGGGTAATGGGCATTGCCCTCATGATGACTGCTCTCTGTGTAGGAGGGAGGCATAGATTGCTTCAATCCAACAGAATAAAGACTTGCACTAAATTTTACAGCTGCTCAGCAAAGGAGAGGCACTTTGCCAAAGATGAGGGCCCAGAGAAAGAGGTTTCCTCGCAGTTTCTATAAATGCCTATGGATTTTGCCTATGTCAACAAGATTACTAAATCTCCAGATTTAGTCTACATGTTTTCTGGAGATGTGTTGTTGTTTATGTAGAACATGTGAACGGTCATATGAAACTTCATTTTACCATTTGAATATTAACTCATTTTGTTTACTTTGCTTTTCCTGGCTAAGAGTTTGAAAATTTCCCAAAGGTCACAGTGGAATTCCTCACTTTGTTTGACAGGCTGAAGACCAAATTTTTGAATGTCAGACACACTTATAAACATTCTGTTTGTCTGTTGTCTAATGCCATTTCATTTATATTTTTTCTGAAGAAAATCTCTTTTCCCCAGCAAGAAAACTCTATTTGGAATTAAGTCGTATGCAGGTCCTGCTGCACCAGGTTCTTCTATTTCTTTCCTCTCAGTTTCCACACCCTTCTAAGGGAAGGGCAAGATTTCATGACGGGCACAGGTTACAATCATATGAGTGGAACAACTCAGCCTTTCATATTGTGATTCCAGATTGACTGCAAACCCATCCAAACCTTTTCAGCAACATGCAGCGTTGAATGAGAAGTTATTCAGAAACCACAGTTGCAACTCCTGGACCCAGACACATGCATGTTCAAATCCCTTCTCTGTCACCTTCTAGTGGTATTACCTTGGCCAAGTTTTCCAACCACTCTAAGCTTTAGCCTTCTCATCTTTTATGCGGGTTAAGAAAAGCTCACACCTCAGAGGCTATTGGGTGGATTAAGTGGAATACTGAATGGAAATATTCAAATACATTAATAGAAGTAGAATGCCCATTATATAGAGTGAGTGTACCAAGTGTGGGGAGAGGCCAGAGCGGCTGGAGCACTCCACTTCAGGTGTAGGCAATAATAGCATTGGCTGTACAAAATGTAAAGAAATAAAACTGAATAAAATCTGGTCTGCTTTTCATTATCCCCATGTATTGTCATTTTAACAACCTCCGTGGTAGAATGCTCCTCCCTGCTGGGTAGGACCACACCCTCTGTGCCACTTCCCCTACCCCCCATGTCAAATTCTCAGTTGTACTTCTATCGCTTTCTCTCCGACCCTCCTGGGCAAGGGCGGCTGTTGCTAGGGCTATGGAGTGTTGTTATTCTCTGCTGCTGTTACAATGATGTCAATGTTGATATCTGACGATGCAATAATAAACGCGAAGCTCTAACAAGGGGCAACATCGCTGTTATTCCCACATTAGAGCAGCTCTTCCACGGTAAATCTGATGCTCGCTTCCACTCAACAAATGGCCCCATAAAATTCTTTATTTGCCAGGATCTGATGGGAGAACTGCCTTGTCAGGGATTGGGATGCACTGTCACGTTCAGGCCTGAAATTAATGAGCAAGCCATCCTTTAGGAGCAGGTTTCTCTCTGGGTGCAGTAACACCTCTAAAATCCCAGTTTGATAACCAACAACTCGATTTGAATATGAGCCCAAGCTTTTTGGAAAATATGTAACTTCATAACAAACAAAATGAAAGAAATATAGACTGAGTTAACCAGAAGAAACAAATATAGTTTTTAGAATAATTTGAAGAAGGCCTTGCTAGGAACATTTGAGAAAAAAGAATTGTTCTTGGAAGAAAAGGAAGAAAGGAAGAAGACAGGGGAGGAAAACATGTAGAAAATCTTTCAGTTTTTTGTAGGGCAAACTGATTGACCTATATTACATTTGAGAAGAAAAAGCAAAATTAAATTAAGAGATGCTTTAAAAAAAAAATGTGGTCTACTTCTTCCCGAATTAGAAAATGCTTATTTAAAAGATTGAAAATCAAATGTGTACAAAGCACCACGTCATCTTTGTGCATTGATCCAATAAGACTCGGCACCGTATTGTATTTTGGCAGGCAGTATTTAATCTTCGGTCCAGCTATTCCCCTGTGGCCATAATATTCCAAGTACTTTTCCAGCCTCTCTCTATTTCCAGACCAATATCAAAGCTGGCACTCTTCTTGCATCCAGGGCCACTCCCAAACCTCAGGGACTCTCTGTTTGATATCGTGCAAATAGTAACCAGGAAAGGGAGGCTGAGACTTGACTAGGTAATGAGAGGTTTCTTGTGTTAAGATGCAGCAAACCTATCACATGAACCCCAGGAACTCAAGTTTCAGAATATCGCAGAATCATAGCTAGACAGCAAGTTAATGATCACCTACTTCAATTCAATTACTTTGTGTTAGTTTACAGAAATAAATCTAAGCCATATTGACATCTAATTATTTGACCAAGGTAAGACAGTGGTTAAGCAGGAGGAGAACCCAACTAATGGTTAAGACAAAAGTAGAACACTGACTGCCTGAAATTGTCTCCAGAACTTTAACCACCTTCCACCAGAGGAGAATACTAGTTTTGACATAAATTAAGTACTGATAAATTTATTTACAATTGCTATAAAAGTGGATATCTACACTCCTTTGTTATTTTTTTGAATATATAGTGTGGATAAATTACTATTAGAATGAGAATGGTGTTTATGTTAGGTTTTAAGCATATAAGGTGCAACAACACAACAATGAGACTAAACCTACAAGCCATATTTGATGCACAATGCCATATATAATGAATTTTAGGTTATTAATAAATGCAAATCTTATCTAAACTTCTTATAACTTTTATCAAGTCAAAATATTTGCATGAACTCCTCGGGTCAGTCATTTCCATCCCATACATACATGGTGGTCAGAGATAGTGGGTTTTCCAGTAGAATACTACTTATATATTTGTATCCTATTGAAATAAAAGTAATTTTTAAGTATCAAATATCACTGGACTTCATTTGTGTACTATTATGAAGCTTTCAACATAAATGAATTATAAATCAGAAAAACAACTGCATGGTTTCCAGAAACTAATTTGCTCCTTACAGAAAAACTCAGCACCAAGGTTAGGCTCAGTTGCCCAACATCCAAACATCCCCCTCTTCACACCATGCTTCTTCCTAAAGAAACTTTTGTTTAAAACAAAACAAACTGACAGAATGAACCCCACTAAACTCCCACAGGACAATGTGACTAGAGAGGAGGCTGGCCCTGTTCCTAGGCCCGGCGTGCATCCAGATTGGTTGAAGCCGATTATGGTGTTATCATTCCTCTCACCAGTGATTGATTTAGACATGGGCATGGGAAATGAGACTTCAGAAGAAATCTTCCGGGGGTCTTCTGGGAAAGGCTTCTTCACTCTTAGAAGAGACACGCAGAGAGAGGCAGCTCCTTCTTCCTCAGGATCTTGTTTCTCCTGGATGTGTTGCCTATGAAGCAAGCACAGCACAAAGTTCATGCCCTGGGGATGGGCAAAGCAGAATGAGGAAGAGGACTTGGATTCTCAATGACACCCTTGAATCTCTAAATTAACCAACTCTACAAGTGCTGTTCTTCTGGACATCTTGTTATGTGAGATAAGAAATGTCCTTGTTATTTAAACCAGTTGCAACTGGAAACATCCAAAATGATAGAGACCAAAATTTCCTGTAAAACTTTCTCTCCTGGATGTGCCCTCCCTGGATACAACAGGCCTGACTAGGAGGTATGGGTGATCCAAGGCAAACTCCTTAAGCCATCACAGAAGGAGCTCAAAGAGCATTTTCTTAAAGCCCCAAAGCCAGACTTGCTTGAGATGGCGGTGGTGGAACAAGTCCCACATGAAATGACAAAAGGGGATCAGATGTTCACCTTGGACCCAGAACAGGAACTTGGGATGAACAGGGCAAGAAAATGCAGAAGGAGGATGAGGGAGTTTGCCATCTGGTCATCAGACTCATTCCCTCTTCTTCCTAGGCACACAGCTACTACACTGCATTATTCAGCCTCTCTTGCGACTAAGTTCTAATCAGAGGATATAAAAAGGAAGTGATGTATGCCACCTTCCAGACACAGCCATAAAACTTCCCAGGTACACTCCTCCAGGCTCTTTTCCTCTTTCAGGAGGCTGGCTAGGAAATGACCTTAGAAATGACCTTGGACGCCATTAGTTAAAGGTGGATGAATGACTTATGGAACGGAGGCCTCTGTGCTCTACTTTTTCCTGCTGAGCAGGAATATGCATAATGCACTATTAACCTTGAATAAGATATAAACTTTTATTGTTTTATATTGCTGAATTTTAGAGGTTTATTTGTTGCAATTGCTAGTATTCGAGCATTAATTAATACAGCAAAGTTACAGAGTTTTGGTGAATAATATAACCCAAGTGAGTCAATAATATAACCCAAGTTTACAAATAAGGAAACTGAAGTAACTTGTGGAGCTGGCCTAGAACTCAGCTGTTCTGTGTCCAATTTCATGTTCTTCTGGCGTCCTATCTTGCAAAAGGACAAGCGGACAAACTCCAACTTGATTCCAGGTCTTGAAAAACCGATATTGACCAAGATATATCAGAGAAGACAAGTCCTGTATTAACTAAACAGTACAGATTTTGTGTATTATTACTGAATGGCCTCTAAATGCACTGCTTTCAGCTTTATTTTAAGCTTTAAGTCAGATTTACTAGAATTATTGTGTGATTGATACCACTGATATTTTAGTGGAAATTAACTTCCTATAGGTTGATCTGGAACATTGCTAATATCTCCCTTCTTTTTAGCATATAATTTATCTTTCTAATGAATCCATAATAGTATTTGGCATTATCTTTTTACAGTATCAAAATTAAGGAAGCATGCTTTTCTTCTTTCCCCATAAATAATTTTTTCTAATAAAAAATGAATATGCTTTCATTATAGAAAAACAATTGAGAAATTACCCACTGAACCAGTTTCTCACTGTTGGAGCTGGAGGTTACAGGTCTTCAAGGGGAAGAGGCTACAGTGATCCATGTGGCAACAGATTAGAGTTGGAAACATAAGTATAAACTCATATTTATCTTAGTGTAGTTACACTGTTATATGGAGAATAATTTATAGATACACATACACACATATTAGCATACACCCATCTATTTCCTTACTGTCAGCTGAGAGGGCTTAGAATACCACCACAACAGCAATCAGCACAAACAGAACCCATGTGTCTGTTTCTGATACCATTCTCCAATAAAACAAAGGGCCCCTTGGAGAAATGGCTGATTCTAGGACTGGGGCAGGAAAGATACAAGATAAGACTAGAATATCTTATAGTGAAAGAAAGTAAGGAATACTTTTTTAAAAAGCATCCCCCAATAATGGGATGTGTCAAATGGATAAGAAGTCAACGAAAAGAGCTCCCAATGGCCAAAGTTGGAACAATTTGGGCAAGAAAGTAAACAAAGTAGTATCAAATTGTAACTCCAATTATAAAATAAATACTTAGAAATATCTTTGAGTCCATACTGTAGTGACATAAATAAAAGATTGAATAAGTAGAATAGAATGGAATAGACCTCTATCCCATGTACAAGAATTCCAAATAACTTATGTAGAACCCCACCTCAAGTTGCATGACTCCCACTCCTTAAGTGCAGGCTGCACCTAGCGACTTCCCCCCAAAGAAGACAGTCTGGTAAGGTGGTCGGAGAAGAGGAACTTTACATTGGAGAAACCTGACAAACACTACTTAGGGCAGGTGATCAAGGTCAACATCAACAGTGATAAGACACACTGATAGGATGTACCTTTGATATGATGTAATGAAAACAGCTCTTTACCAAGAAAATGGTGTTTTTACTCCCCAAAACTCCTAACCCCAGTCTAATCATAAGAAAAAATCAGACAATTCCCAACTGAGGGATATTCCACAAAATACTTGACGAGTACTCATCAAAACTGTCAAGGTCATCAAAAACAAGAAAAATCTGAGAAAGTGTCAAAGCTGAGAGGAGCCTAAGGAGACACGACAACTAAATGCAATGTGATGTCCTGAATGGGATTCTGGAACAAAAAAGGACATTAGGTAAAAACTAAGGAAATGTGAATAAAATATGGACTTTAGTTAATAATAATGTATCAACATTGGCTCATAAATTGTAACAAATGTACCATACTAATGTAAGATTATAATAGGGGACTGGACGGGGAACATAAGGGCACTCTGTGTACTATCTTTAAAACTTTTCTATAACTTTAAACTGCTCTAAAATTAAGAAGTTATTTTTTGATCTCCAATAATCTCATCATCTAGCAAGACACAGAAAGATTTTAATGCAAATCTTATGGTTTTTTCTATCAAAATTATTTTTTATTTTTCAAAGTGTTTTCATACTGTACAGACTTTTTCACTTACCATTTAGTGAATGTATTTCCATGTCCTTATAAATCTATGAGATGATTTGTATTTATGTCAAGTAGTTCATCTTAGGGATGTTTCATAGATTATTTAGTCAATTATCTATTGGTATCTTTATTCTTCTCTAATTCCATTGAATTTATTGAGGAAGGATCTGTGGGAAATGGAGAGAGTAAGAAGAGAGGAAGCAATTCTGACATATTTGTTTATTGTGAGAAGAGAGGGATGGGTCTGGTCCGATGCTGCTAGGGAAAACGCAATGGGCTGAGAAACAATAGATCCCCATACTAGTCTCAACTTCACAAATAACTCTGAGCATGGCCTTAATCTCTACAGTTCCGTGTCCTTATCTATAAAACGAAGTAGATAATTTACTTAAATGTCCATTCCTAAAGTCTATTATTCTATATTTTGCAGATAGACTATCTTTTAGAAAATTTCATGCAGAGGATATGACCAAGTAGACTTAATATAATAAAGAGAGTATAGAAAATGGATGATGGATACATTTCCTCTTTGCCGTATAGACAATGGCACTAATGGAATACCTTACATGAAATGACATGGAGATCTGACAGTTAATTGTAAAGGGAGTGCTTTCTGCTAAAGAAGACGGAGGACAAGTCCATGAATGTTGCAAGGAGACTGAATCCAGCTGAAAAAGGAAAGGCTGTCTAACAATAGAATGGGCTTCCCAGAAAAATGAGTAGTTCTTAGATGTGGAGAATTCTGCAGCATGGGTTGGATGGAGAACCATCAGGCATCCTATAGAAGCGATTCCTGCTCCGGGTAGGTAGAAATTCAAACTGAATGGTCACCAAGGTCACTTTCAATTTTAAAAGGCTGGAATTTTTCTTTAATTATATACAACACCACCTTTAGACTATTGCCCTTAAGCATTGCCCCGGTTTCTGAGCTCCCTGCTGTCTCATTGGTTTCTTTACTGAAGAATCGATTCTACTAGCAAAAATAAAAGAAGCTGAGTCTTTTGGCTTGTTTGTATGCATAGATGGGTACATCTCTAACGACCTAATGAAAAACAGGTCCTTTCACTGTGACTAAGAAAGTGTGAACAAATCATCTCTTGAAACTCAATCTTCTCTTCGAAGTCAATGCAAAAAGAAGAGAACTTCGGAAAGCAGGTCTCCAGTTCACAACCAAACTTGTGAAGTTGTCCTCAAGATTTACTGACATTCTGTCTAGAACATGAACTTGTAAAAGCCCCAATAGGTAAAAAATAAAATACACACACTTATCAATATTAAAGTTTTTGAAGTTGATCTGATCTGCAGGTGACAGCTCCTCACCTTCAGACTGAGGGAGAAATCACACTTGGCGGGAGTTTTCTTTCTTATAGGTGACTGACTGTCTTACACATCCAGTGACTCCAGCGTGTTTCCTCTACGCATCTGGCCCTCTCTATTCAGGCAAAAACTATGTGACGGCTGTTCCAAAATGTCTGTTTCTGTAATTCCATTCATAGGAGAAAATTAGATAGCCTCTCAGTCGGCTTCACCTCAGAAGAAATCAGATGGCTCGAAACATTCCTCAGGGGTGAGGGGTGGAAGGGAAAATGGGGGAAGGGGACCGAAACCAGCTTTAAGAACTTTTTGTCCTGAGCTTCAAAAGTACAGAAAGTGAATGTAATTTTATGAGAAAACACATATTGCCTGTGGATCTTCACTTCCAACACACACACACACACACACTCAAACACCAAGCCACAGGCGCCGGCTATTGGCAAATGCCTCCTCTCCAACCACCAGAGCAAGGAAGCCGTCGCTGGAGCCCCAAACGTACCACCAGTGCGTCGTCTCTGGAAGCCCTCGGCTGCAGCCCACCAGTCTGGGGAAGGGCAGCGTGGAAGGCTTTGCAGGGAAATCCCTTGCACGCTTTGTGGTATATTAAAAATGCAGCATCATCCTCTCCGCTCCTTTCCTTCGGCCGAAAAAGCAGAATTCGAGGGCACAGGGAAACTGGAGAGGCAAAAAGGCTGCTTTCCTCCAGGAGCCCTCGAGCTCCCTCCCTCCACGCCCCCCCTCCCCCGTTGGGCTCTAACTGCCACAGCTCCAATGGGCCAGCAGCACCTTCACCCATTTCCTCTTCTATTCACTCCGGCGGGGAGGGAAGAGGGAAAACAAAACTCTAAAAATAACTGTGAGTCTCTCAAAAAGAGAAAAGCTTAGCTGCTCCCCCCCTACCCCCGCCCCGCTCCAGCCCCTCTCTTCTCCCTCCTCCCGCCACCCCCCTCCTTATGGGGCACATGTCTGCTTCTTACAACACCGAGGCACATGGTTCCAGTTAGGCGCCGAACCCCACCAGGACGGAGAGGAAATCCACATCTGTGGGACGCTCCGCACGGAACCACCTCCAGCGAGGGAGGCCGGGGGACTGCAGCACCGAGATGAAGGGCTAGACCGAGGGGACGCTGCTCATGCGGTGAGAGGGGGCGCGGGCGGCGACCCCGGCGCGGGGAGGCTGGGGAGGGGGGGCCCGCCGTGCCCCCGCAGCGCCCGCCCCCACGCGCGCTGTCGATATTTGCCCGCCTTGCTGCAACTTGCTGCAGTGTTTGAAAGAGTAGTAGGAGCGCATGGAGGTGGGGCCGGGGAAAGACCAGGCGGAGTGGTCGGGGGTGAGCGCGGAGGGGGTGGGGAGGCGGCGGCGGCGGCAGGCGGCGGTGGGGAGGGGGGCTGGCCCGGCGCGGGTGGGATGGGGGAGCGGGGGGTAGCCCGGCGCTTACACATGTCACATGTGCTTTTTAAGACGGCCGGGAGCGCCTGCGAGCTGGATCTGGTGGAGGATGCTGCGGCAGGTGCTTCGCAGAGGGCTCCAGTCGTTCTGCCACAGGCTGGGCTTGTGCGTGAGCCGGCACCCGGTCTTTTTCCTCACCGTGCCCGCAGTCCTGACCATCACCTTCGGCCTCAGCGCGCTCAACCGCTTCCAGCCCGAGGGCGACCTGGAGCGCCTCGTCGCTCCCAGCCACAGCCTGGCCAAGATCGAGCGCAGCCTGGCCAGCAGCCTTTTCCCCCTGGACCAGTCCAAAAGCCAGCTTTATTCGGACTTACACACCCCTGGGAGGTATGGCAGGGTGATCCTCCTCTCCCCACCCGGGGACAATATTTTGCTCCAAGCTGAGGGGATCCTGCAGACCCACCGAGCCGTGCTGGAAATGAAGGTGAACCACAAGGGCTATAATTATACTTTTTCCCATCTGTGTGTGTTGAGAAATCAGGATAAGAAATGCGTGCTGGATGATATTATTTCAGTGCTAGAGGATCTCAGGCAGGCTGCCGTCTCCAATAAGACAACAGCCAGGGTGCAAGTGAGGTATCCCAACACTAAATTGAAGGTATGCTCCTCCTGCATGCTTCTGCCAATTAAAGAGGCAGCACTTCATTTCTTGCCCTAAACAAGCAAAGAAAATGCAGAGGTCTCATCCTTAAGACTCAGAAGCTGATGCTTCTTTCATTTTTGGGGGGAAAAGATGGGCAACTGAGTGAAGAAAACAGGCAATGAATGGTACGACTAGATATTAAGAAATTCAAAGCCAAACAAAACAAATGCCAAAAATGAAAAAAAAAAAGGAAAAAAAAGTTTTTTCTGAGACCCTGCAATTACATCTTTGTTCAGGGTTAATAAATCAGTGAATGGAAGGGGGAGGGGGAATCCTGAACAATTTGGGGGATTTCTTTTCATTATGGGGCTCAATGTATTTCTTATTACTGATTACACATCCACCTGGTACCATATCCACCTATTTACATCTTCAGCCTGGCTTGATTTTGACACGAAGGGAGTTTGTGTTTTGGTGCCCTGTGAGTGTGTGTCTGAAAGCAGTGGGTATGAATGTAGTAGAGACTCCAGGAATTATGTGCATGTGTGTTTGCATAGCAAATGAAGCAGAAATTTTCTGTGTGTAAAAACGGGGATGTGCATCTACCTGATGTACTAGTTTACTGAGTCTTGCTATCTTCTTTCCGATAAAAAATCCAAACCAAAGCAAGATTATTGGAACAGCCCAATAGCAAAAGAAAAGAAAAAAATTGACATTCAGCAAAAATTGCAAAGAATGATTATTTCGGCATTAGACATATTGTGCTCTTTAAACTTTCAATTCAAATTTTGTTGCTGAAATGAGATTTCTAAACTCATTCTACACTGTCGGGACTGAGCTGCTGCAGGCAAGGAGGCATGCAGTCTGCAGGTGACTGAAGTTTCAGGGACAAATGTGACTTCCAAAAGAGTCATTGCACCATTTGTATGCTCGACCCTGTGCATGCTCAGTAGCTGCACGACCAAGAACTCCCAAGACAGGTGTTTCCCAAGAAGAAGGAATTTTCTTTCTTCTAAGGTGTCTGAGGATGTGTGTGTGCTTCTGTGGAGGTAATGGAATAGAAGGGACCCCAGTTTCAATAAATGGATGAGTTAATATAGGAAATCACTAACATTTCCATTTATTTGATACAATCAGCATCTATACACAATTAAAAAATAACCTTCTCAAGATTCTTGAGATAAAGAGGCTCTTTTTCCTGAACTGAAGGAGGATTTAATGAACTTAGAAACTGATTCCTCCGGAAACCTCATGACCTGCCTCCTTTTAACATATTGTCCTTGTTTCAGTGCATCCAGGGGCTGACAGGATTTCAGCTTTACAAAGCTGAGCAGCCCTTTGAGGTTTAGTGACACTAGACAGATGATTCACTAGCTTGAAATCTAGGTAAGGGCTTGCCTGCTTCACACTTATTGAAGGGAGCATGATAAATATATGTGGTTGGGCAGCGTGCTTTTTGTTTCTTGAATCCTTTGTCATCAAGATTATTGCTTGCTAAGAAAAGGATGTGGTGGGAAGGTGATTCTCCTAGTGTATGGTCTTTCAACTGAGTTCTTTCCTGTGCCAAACATCTGGTGTAAAGAAAGATTTGAAACTGTGTCATATTTAAACTTCAATTTGTTTTCCCTATTGAGGCAAGTTTGCGGTTTATTAATATGCATTATTAGTTGGATCCTTTATTCAGCGATACTCTCCAGGTGTGAGAACTTTGTCCAATCAGCCATTGTGGATATATTGTTTATCTGGCAATATCATTATGACATTTATGGTACAAACCCCTGAGGTCTTTAATTCATTTGTTTGAGAATCATTGGGCATGCTCCTATAATTTATCAGGTGCTTTTCTGGGCACAGGAGACAGAGTTTGGGACAAGAAAAGCAAAGTTCTTACTCTTACGGGGCTTAAAAGTAGTGATGTCAGTGTCCTCACCCAGAGTAACCTGCAGGCAGGGACTCTGCAGTCTTCCAGTCCACCACTGAGCCAACGCCATGCTAGGCCTATACCAGGTGCTCCATCTAAACTTTTTGGCTGATTGGTTGGTCGGTCTACACCCAGGTAGGAGGCTGTGGATAATCATAAAAGAATAGAGTAATTGATTAGAAAGGTCAATGTGGTAATTATTCTACTAACCGTAAAAAGAACCGGAGAATTATACATTGCCTCTATAACTATAAAGCCCTTATTCCGATACAGACTAATTTCAGTGTTTCCTCAAATGTGTTGGCTTGACTACCTCTGCATGGTTCAGTGGGAGTTGTTCAAGCTATGTTTGGGAAAATGAATCCTTTGAGAATCTTCTGAGAGCAAGGGGCCCTCTCAAGCATCCCAATGTAATCTCACACATACTAATGCAATATAAAAGATAGTTGATGGAGTACCAAAGGTACATAGAATGCTATCAAAGGGTCTCCAAGGACTTCCAGGTCAAGAACTCCCTGGCACAGAGCAAAGTGAGATGGCCTTTCATTTTGAGTACATGTTATTTGGAAGTGATTTCAATTCACGTGTGGCAGTGGTTCTCAGAGAGTGTCCCTATGATTCTGAAGCATGCTAAAGGTTGAGAGTTTCTGGTGGATGCAATTTGAGGGAAAATTTTATTTATACATTTTTTGGCCTTCTATTTCATTTTGCTTTCCTCTGTTATACTTGGGTCACCCCTCTTTCCAACTCTGGCCAATATGGAAAATTTTAGTGCTGGAACATGCTATTGGTGGACAGGGAAACAAGAGTTGAGAGAAAATGCAAAATAAATAGCAGTGGCTGAATAATGTGAGTAGGAATCCGCAATCCTGTGACATGCAAGAAACACTAGGTCGGTTCTTGGAGATAATCTGAAGATGTAGAAACACTGATTGACAGAAAGAAGTGGTCAGAAACAGTTATGAGAATCAGAAGGGCACCTTTCAAGTATTATTAAGACGCCCAAGTAGTCCTGAGCACAGAAATGTTTAGAACTTCTGATAAACATGATTATCTTGACAAGGTAATCCAGACAAGCAGAAACACAGAGAGTCGCCTGGTATGGAATTCCAAACAGGCTCAGATAAAGCTGGTGTGAAAAAAGCAGCAGTCAGCTTAGAATACTACAGAAGAAATGAAATGCATACACATTTTCAAAAGCTGTGTAGAAATGAAACCAAAATCTGAAATCCCTACGCCTGTAGAATATGAACTCTGCAATTGTGCCCGTCGTTAGAATCTTTAGATTATTATAGCGCTGATTAAGCACAAAGGTCATGTTTTATATTCCTTCTGTACTATTCATGTTCCCTTACCCCACCCTTGTCCACTTCTATGTAGATAGTATACACATCATTGATTAGTCTGTTGACAAGTTTGAACATTTATTCTGTAAATAACAAAGTTATCAGCACTTTTCAAACCCCTGTGGCATGCTTTTATTTTAAAGGCATTCTCTACATTCTCCAGATTTTTGTAAAGTGTTTTTGACCTCAATAATTTGGGGGCCATTTTTTTCACCCATAGAGACATACATATTGTGTAAGTTAATACAATGTGGCCAGGCTGAATTTTTAAGTTAAATACGTAACGTATCATTGAAACCAATCTCTTGATTAAAATGAGACAGGCACTCAAGATCCTTAAGCAAGGACTACTCTGGACTTCAAGAAATGTTTTTGTTACAATTGAAGCAGCTCAAGTGGTTGCAGGTAATATTTCCCTGCTTCTTGGGTAGGCTGTCATGATCTCACTTTTCCATCTGGCTGGTTCCAAGAATGTAACAATTCCCACATGTCCCCAGTTCTTTTAGTTTGGCCACAGCAAAAAGCATAGGTAAAGTAGAAGCAGGCAAATGTGGTCGATGGCAAATGGTGAGAAAAGAATGAAGCAGATTTGATTCCCTTGCAGCCCATCCTTCCCATCAAATTCCATTAATACCACACCTCGAAACAGACGGTTCATTGAAGTATACGTACTTCAATGTTCCACACTTAAATATGGAGCAAAGAAAAACTTTCCTGCTTCTTAACGAAAGATAGTGTTTCTTTGGGTACATTTGGAGTACATCTTCCAGGTTTGGACGATGTTGCTGTTAATCATTTAGTTCCAATCTCAGTGGAAGGGCAGCATAAGCCAACAGGGAAAATGAGGACCAACATTATTTTTAGAGATTTCTGAGAAAAGTTATTCCATAGACTAATTTTTCTAATTTATTCTAAAATCTCCTAAGATATCCATGTCAGGATCTTCTCTATTTTTATTTAAGCTTAATTTCCTGATTCTATCTCTTCATAAGGGAAAACACTGATACCTTATTGAATGTTTGGTTTGTGTCCTAAGTGGTCTTGGTGGTTTATACACAGCATGTCATTTTTACAAGTTTATGAGTCAAGGGAAGTATTTTTATTTCCATTTTATAAATAAGGAAAGTGAAGACCAGGAGGTTAAGTGAATTCTATGAAGTCGCCAAGGTAGTGCATGTTGGAGCTGGAGTTTAACCTCAGATCTGTCTGTACTGAGGTTCATATTCTTAACCATAATACTATTAGGTCTTATAACATCCTGCTCCATTCTTTGTAACAGCCTTTTGTACTAAGAAAGAACGAGGGCCATAATGCCCAAGCCATCTCAAATCCATGTTAAAATACCGCTACTGATCTACCATACCAGTATCCCTGCAGAATAACCAGTAGATAAGATGGTAAAGTAAAGCTCCACTCTCTTTTCACCCTTAAGGGAGTGAAGCTTCTAGTTTGGGCAAACTCCTACCATCTGCCTACTGTGGAACCTGCCACAAAAAGTTAAGTGAATTCCTCACTGGCACATGGTTTCACCTTTAATATCATTTCACATCAACTCAGAACAAACTCGAGTGAGGCTCCAGGATCACGTGAAAGTGAGAAGCCTATAATATGGTCCAAGATTTTGAGCCAGGGGCTTCTGTGCCAGACAAGCTTGGATATTTCTGTCTTAAATTGGCATCAGGAAAAAGAATTGATGAGATGGCATGGGACAATATAATGTGGATTAAATTGAGAAATTTTCAGGAGATTTAACTTCTAAGCCCAGTTCTTTAAAGATCGGTTGTGTGACATTGGACAAGTCCCATCACCAATCTGGGCTTCAAGTTCTAGGATTCTTTTGTAACATTCTACCACGTAGTAGGTATCATTTCAATGGATTTGGGAATATATTCTAGAATATTTTTCCTCTGGAGTAGAGTAGATGTACTTGATTAGATTTGAATATAATGTTGTACAAAGTTAATCATAGTTTCTTAACTAAATTTTTGTACATATATTTCGTAGCCACCGTATCAGGATAAGTTAATTCATTAAGTGTTTCTGAGTGTTAGTTCGAAAACTGGCCCCCGAACGCAGAGGGCAAGGAGAGACGAAAGAAAGAAGCAGACTACTTCAGAATGATAGGTGGGAGGTTTAATAAGCAAGGGAACTTACAGATGAGGCTTGTCTTAGGCAGCCACAAGACGAGTAGATCTCTACACCTGACTGCCAGAATCTTAAAAGTTTATATGGAGACCTTACCTGGGTTCAGTCATGTATTCAGTTGGTCTCAACAACACAATGCTCTCTCAAGGCTGCGTCCTTGAAAACAGCTTCCACTGTGGTAATAGTGGTTGTAGCACACATTCCAAGGACAGGGGATGGGTGAGGAGCCTCTGATTGCCCGGCTCTAGCTCTCAGGTGTAGCTCTTGGATCAACCAGTGGTGATGTCCTCTCATTGGGCTCCTCCAACACTACGTACCCTAGTGGGAAAAACACTTGCTTGGTATTGGGAGCCTGGCTCCTTCTCCTTGGCTTCAACGAAGACCTACTTTAAACTAAGCAGTTTTTATAGTTACTTATTTATACTTCTTTTCATTTTGGGAATTCAAGGATTAAGGCAGGATTAAAAACAAATAAAAGGAACAGAAATGGTTCTGTCCATTCTTCTCATTTCCCTACCCTCAGCTGATCTGATGGTGGTTCCCTCAGTTGTCCAGCACCCACCAAGAGCTTGGGGTAGGGGCAGGGAAAAGAAGTCCAAAAGATACACACAACATTATGGAAGTATAGAATGAACTAAAGCCACTCTCCCCACAAAATAAAACACTCCTTTGCTTCTCTTGCCACTTTAGACAATAATGAACTCTTAACAGTTTTTTCTTAATCTTTTCTATTATAAACATTATTACAACTGAAACAAGCTATTGTGTTGTGCTTTTCAAAATATATTGTTTTTGGAGAATATTTTGCATTTTAATCCATCGGCTATTACACCATTATTAGGCCACATTGCTTTTAATTTAGTTTTAGAGTTGATCGGCAGATACTCAATCCTACTCCAGATATATCCAGACATTTCTATGCATGCTCAATAAAACTGATTTTAAAGAGGAAATCTGGAAACTCCAAGATTCTAGATTTGCATAAGACAGCTCTAGATTGGACAACCGGTCTGTTTCTACCCTAACTTAGTCAAACAAATCCCCCGGGCCCCATCCCCAGGGTGGAATCATGAGAGTGACTCATTTCTCTGGATTGTTTCTGCCAGTGTGCTATGGACAAGGTTACATTCATCACAGCCCTGGCACACAGAGAAAAACATGTAAGCATTGCTTCTGATGTAAAAGTGCCCCAAGTTGCATTGTAAGCTACAAAATTAATTTTGTTTTCTAAGACCTTGCTCCTCAAAGTGTTGTGTATGCACCAGCAGTGTCAGCATCACCTGGGAGCTTGTTAGAAAGGAGAACTCCCCAGGTCTCACCACAGACGTACTGAATGACCAGAATCTGCCTTTTAAAAAGCTCCCCAAGTGATTCGTATGCACTTGAGAGTTTGAGAAGCTCAGGTCTAAGACAGAAGGTTGACCTTAGTATTCTTCATTCCTGGCTTGAGTTTGAAGTAACCTGTGTCGAGTCAGACCAAAGGCACTGTAAGAAAATTGAGTAATTGAGCCCATAGCCATATCGTGGAGTCATGTGATAGAGACATTGTGGAAATGCCTGGAGAATTATCCAGCAGCTATTCCACTTTGAGAAAGTCTCACCCCTCTCATCTGTAGTTGGGCCTGTCACTTGTCTAAGCTGAAAGCTGATTACTGTCATTCAATATTTTCCAAAAATGTTGAAATTAAATCTAACCACCTCTTTAAGAAAAAACATCAGCAGCGTTTTTCTTAAGCCCCTTTGCAGTTATTTCACGATAGTAGCAACATTAAGCCCTAGTTAGCCTGATTATGTTAATATTATATGAGAACACAAGATATAGGAACTATACATAGGAACAAGAGTATTTGGGGAAAATGAAATACAAAATTACAGTGGAGTGTATTTGTGAAGTGGCACTGCTTCCATGCTTTTCTCAGAGAGGATGATTATGGCAGAGCCATTCGTTGAAATCAAGGCTCATTCTCTGTCATTCTGGAGAATTCAGGGCCTCTGAAAGGTACCTACCTGATGAGCTTCGGTCAAAATGAGTGGGCTCTGCTTAGTTACAGAATTTGTGTTAGAACCGCCAGTGTTTTCCCTCCTGAACTACCCTCCCAATGTGGAGAGGCCTCACCTGGGCCATTCTGACTTTCTTCTGCTCTCTCAAAGGCTGAAGGCAGAATACAGGCTCTGGGTTCCACAAGGCAGAAATATGCTTAAAGGGTTCTCCTGGCTTCTGGAGGGCCTGAAAGCAGCTCCAGGTGTTTGTGAGTTCATCCTCAAAGTTTACACTTCCCTTTGAACGTTCGGATCTGTTCTCTCACCTCACCAGGGCTCTTAATTACATGGAGGGAGAGAATGTTCAGTTCTCATTGTCACTGCAGATCATACTAACGTGGGCAAGATGCACGTTAGATTCAAAAGCCATTCACATGTTCATTCATTTGGGCAACTAAAAGTGTCTGCTACGTGCCAGTGTTGGGTACTGGAGATTCAGTGAGGAGCACAAGAGATGTGGTGCTTGCCCTCCAGGAGCTTGAGCCTAGTAAAAAAGACAAAAGTCACATAGAGAAATTCATAATCACAGATTATCACGCAGGGAAAATACATGGTGCTGTGAGAGAAGGATACCGAATCTGGGGGTGTTAGAAACAACTTTCCTGATGAGGTGACTGTGAGCTGAGATATGAAGGGTGATAGGGGATTAACACACAAGAGGGGATTAGATGGTAGAAGCAAAGGTTCAAAGGCGAGGACATGGTACCTAGGGTGCATTGGCCAAAAGCCACTGTGGATGGAAGTTGAAGTGTGATGATGGGCCAAGGCTAAGGGCCATGAAACAATTTCTTGAGAGTTGGGGTACCATAAGTTAGATCCA